AACAGTATATTCAAACCCAATCCACAGTCTGAATAGGAAAACCAGTATTAAAATCATGAAGGCATTCCCTGAACAACAAAGGCCAAGTGTTGGATGACAATGTCACTAAAACCTCATTGATGCACTAAAAAGAAGTTACATGCAAAATTAAACAATGTGTGCCATGCATAATTTATAGCTAGTTCTACTTCCCCCCGACCCACAACTTTCCTTAAAAGCTTAGGAAGATCTGATTGTCTCAGTAACTTTATGTGGCACAGTGTAACCAACATGTAAATCTGCCTCCCACAAGATGGGTATTCTCTGAAAAGTCAGAAGAGCCACCAAGGGGGAACAGATAATGCAGTAAAAGGCACAGTTCACTAACGAGGCAAAGAACTGAAGCACCTTGGAATTTCAAAAAGAATCCATTAGGTGTCACCAACATGTTAACAATTCCTTGGGAATTTATAAACAAACAAATCTAGATTACAAATAGTGACTCTAAGGCCCCACTGGAACCACAGCACACCTTCCCCGCTGTTCTCAGATCTGTAAGTCACTGCAGAAGATGAGGTTATTTTGCCTGTATTAAGGAAGGCTTCTATTGCACATGCATTTCTTTGGTTGAACATGCACTTTTGTTCAATAGTTCCACTATGAACACCTGGTGTGTGGTCAGCTGAGTGTGGACTTCCCTCGATCCTGAGGGCCCTCCTCCTTGCCTCAAGTCCTTCAGAACTGAGGATGATGTGGTAGTGCTGGGTCTTTACTCAACATCCCTGTTCTATAGCATGTGAGAACAGAAGAAAGGGAGAGGGAAAAGGAGGGAGGAGAGGGGGGAGAGGGAGAGGGAAGAAGTAATTTAGAGGAAAAGGAAGGAAGGGTAGAATAAAAGAGAAGGGAATGGTTGTCACAAGTTGGATGTGAGCCCTGTACTTGATAAACCTCCTGGCTGATAATCAAGGAGAAAACATCTGCCCTTACCCAAACTCCTTTTCAACTTTGAAAACAACAGCGGGGTGGGGGGTAGACACAACTATATTATATAAATTTAACTGACCAGGCCCCACCTACACAGACCAGGCACACCAGTAGGACCTTTCACTTGAAGACAGGAGAACCTGGGTGTCCAGGAACGGAGGGGTCAGATCCAGCTGCATGAGACCCACCTTGGGCTCACCTCCGTCCACCTGCCTAATTCTCCAGAGTTGCTGGGTCCTTCCTTGGGGTTAGCTCCTACCTCTTTGGCTCTGCCCCACATTTTTCATTGGGAAATCAAAGTAATCCTAAAAAGCATTTAACATCTCAACACTGAATGCTTCTCATCTAACTCATTTACAAGCAAATAACAAGGCCTTTCTTTTCTACCACCAACTTACCCCCTGCCACCTTCCTCAGCCCTCAGAACCCTTACCTCTACACAATCCTTTTTCCAAACTTGCTTTTACTTTCTTTGTCAAATTCCTACAAAATCCTTCCCAAATTCCCCAGAGTTCCTAGATTCCTGTGCCTTCAGTTCACATGGATAGATTCCTTTACTGTTAGAAAACAAAAATACAGACAGGTAGTTTCAACATAGGACAAGTATTCAGAGATTCCTTGTTAAGCTTTTAAAAACTCATTTGCACATCCTAAAGCTTAACATCATCACATAATTAAAACAACTAGGAGAGAGTAAGAAAAAAAAAAAAAAACAACCCAGAGTTCATGCTTTCAAGCACTCTAGAATGCTCCTGATGCCTACAGGTTCGCAGCTTGCAAGAGGTAACACCGCCATGCCGTAACAGAACAAGCTCGCAGAGTCCCTTACGCAGGATGCATGAGGTGCGGCATGCTGCGTGACCAGGCTTTGGGAACTAAGTCAGAGATAAAAGGGGAAGACCCTAGCATCATGGGGCAAGAAAACAGCTCTCTGAAGAGAGGCACTTGCTGCTCTTTGAACATGGGTCCCAACTGGGGCCTTCCTGGCAGATGCCCCCGGCGTTAGCCAGGCTTCCACACCTCGCCAAGGGCTTCTTCCAGCTTGAGTCTGTAGGCCGCGTAGCGCCTCTTCAGGTTCTGCAGCTGCTCATCTTCCTCCTTGTCCAAGATGCGCAAGAAATTCTGCAGTTCTGGAAGGCTGAAAGCTTCCCACTGTGAGAATACAAAAAAGTGCCAGGTATTTAACTCAGAGTCCAGAGGGAAAGCTGTCCTGAGCAAGTGGCGGTGTGGCTGCCCTCCCTTCTTGGCCCAGCTCCTCAGAACCCTGGTTTTCTTACTCTTCACTCCCACTCATCTCACTCCCAAGAGCCCCTAGCTCCCCTCCCTGCTTCTTTCTTCAAAATGGCTGAGGACAAAGACTTCCACATCCCTACCTCCATTAGATACCTGCCTCATTCCTCACCTGATCTGACCCCCCAAGGCCTCAGAAACATCTCTCTGCATCTTACCATGATCACCATCTTCACTGCCCCTTTCTCACCTCCCACAATCAATCTCATCACCTCCCAAACACCTCTCCAACACCCTTTCTCTCCAACTCTGCTCATCCCTAGTGTGGCTGCCATCATTATGGCACCCTGGGACAGCCTACCTGGCCTCCTCACTGCACACTTGAGACCACCACACTTGTTGCTCCCCCAACAGCCAACCCTTTATAAAATGCAAATTTGGTCATGACTCTCCCTGCTTGGATGCAATCAACAGGCTCCCTGGGTTGTTTAGGTTAAGTCTTGAAAGACCCCAAAACCTCTCCAACCCCGTCTCTCTCACACTGTGCCTCACTCACGACCCAGGGCTTTGGCACATGGTCTCCCTGCTCCACGGAACCTGCCAAACTCCTACCCACTCTTCAAGGCTCATCTTAAATGCCACTGATTCCATGAGGCCTTTCCACAACTCCTCCCTGCCCATCTAAGTCTAGAAGTTCTCACTGAGCACTGGTGGCCCTGATCACAACCAAGATTTTGGAATTATTAATAATTATTTGCTTAGTATCTATCTCACCTACACCTCACCTACATTGCAACTTCATACTTCTCACTCTTTGGGGTTTGTCTCTTGCCCCTGAGGCTGACTTCTGTTTCCCTAACAGTACTTGGTACACTTAGTAAGCACAAAATACACTTTTATTTTATTTTTTAACTTAAGCAGTGAATATCAAGGACAGTATTTGGCATCATCTGGCGAGTTTTTTTCAAAGACGCCCTCCTAACCCAAAGAGGACCCTAGGTCCTGGCTGAGAATCACTGCCAAAGTTAGAAATGCTGTCTAATGAGGTAGAATTAGTTAGATAACCCAATATAAATGCACAGAGAAGAACATGAAAAGAACCACCAAAGAAGAGCATGAAAAAAAACACCAAAGAGGTTAAATGATAAGAAGGCTTCCCAGAGGTGAACTAAAGCTGGTTAGTAAAGAAAATGGGCCCGGTGGCGCCCACCTATTATCCCAGTGGCTTGGAAGGCTGATACAGGAGGATTGCAAGTTCAAAGCCAGCCTCAGCAACTTAGTGAGGCCCTAAGGAACTCAGTGAGATCCTGTCTCTAAATATAAAATAAAAAAGGGCTAGGGATATGGCTCAGTGGTTAAGTGCCCCCGGGATCAATCCCTAGTACCAAAAAAAGAAAATGAGAAATCAAGGAGTAGGGGAGCACAACTTTCTACATTAGAACACTCTGTTAATATGGAAAAATTTTCACATTTCATTTTTTAAAATAAAGACATTATAAAATCTTTTCTCTCTCCCACTCCTGACAGCTTATACAAAGTTTCTTCCCCCAGTTTAGCTTCCTTCAATAAGTGAAAAGCAAACACTGAACAAAGGTTCAATAAAGTAGTCCAGAACATTAAAGCACAATTCTAATTTCAAAACACAATTCCTCCCCAGTGTTGCTCTAGCTGCACTAAACTATGTGAAATGCTGGGGGGAAAAAAAAAATCCAATAACAAGAGGTGTAAAATGTGGATGAGACTACACTTGTGTCCAGAGTAGGTCTGGAGGAACGCTGCCCACCTTGCAAAGCTTCTGCACCCAGTTTTCTCCCTAGAATGACTGAATTTCTTAAAAAGCTTCAAAATGATGGAAGCAAAACAATCTTCCTAAAACTCCCTGGAGTAATTCTAATTTACACTTATATATAAATATACTATATATCACATCTATATATTCTCCAATTTGTGACTCAAAACTAAGTTACCAATGATCATTAAAAAGAAAGAAAAAGGAAAAAAAAAAAAAACTAAGTTACCTAGGGCCTCGCCTTTTAAAGGGTTTAGTTCCTCTTTACAGATTTTAAAACGGAGGGCAGGAAAAACTAGGTCATTTTCTAAATACAGCAAACAAAAGGAAACAGAGTCCTGTTTCCTAACTTTTAAGCAAGCTGGAAACCCTGTTTTTGCTGTCCCATGCAACATTTCACACCATTTCCTGTTCTTAGCAGAATACTGAGACCCAGAATTCAGGAATGCTCAAGTGTCATTTAAAGTTGACAAATGATGTAAAGGACAGTCCAAAGTGTTTTTTGTTTTTGTTTTTGTTTTTTATGGTCTAAATACAATCCTCCCAGGAGAGAAAATGTCAAATGATGTAGACATATGTAAAACATCATTTCTTAATCATTTGGGCAAGGGGGAAAAATATTTTAGAAAGTTAAATGTCTTCTGTGGCAAAGAGATCACGTTTCCTTTTATTTCCCTTTAGAATAAATTAGCCTGGAGACTTTTCTTAGTAGCAGACACTGGGAGTGTCAACTTTCAAAGTTTAGCTGGCTCAGAGCCCTGTGGAGGTGGGAAGGGCTGAAAATGCCTCTCTGGGTACCAACAAGTAAAAAGTCGCATTTCCTCCCACCCAGGAGAAGCGCAGACCAATACAGTACTTCGAGGAAATTACACTATGGATTAATTTTGGGTTTATTTCTGATGATTCAAAATATCTCCCTCTTGTATGTCCCCCACCCCATTCGGCTTCCTCCTCCTCGGTCAAGTCACTAGACGAGAGCAATAAAACAGGGCCAGCTGTTCTGTGTAGTTTAAAGTCACATCACACAATCACTTACCTCTCCAATTTCATGTTCCCGAAGAACAAAACTAAGTGTGTCGGTTCTGGGCCCTGCTACCAAACGCAGGTAGAGTGGATGTTCCCGGTCTGAGAGCTTGCAGGCATAGACTAGGCAAAGAAACAAGCAGCACCACGTCACAAATGCGTTTTTTTCAGCACTCCTCGGCCCCATGCCCCTTGCCACCCTCTCCTTCCAATTCAATGCGTCCATGTCTACCCATCCTCCCCTCAGCTTGGTACCAGCAGACCACAGGGGAGCCAAATGGATTCCATTTCCATTCTCTTGGCCCAATATAAACTGTACCTTGATTAAGGAGGAAATAATTTCCAAGAATAAATTTAAACAGCTACTAGTCCCCAAATATGCTTTTAATTGGTTATGTTCCTTTTTTAGAAAGCAAGATAAGAAGGATTTTTTAATTTTTTGGTACTTGGGATTAAACCTAGGGGTACTTAACCACTGAGCCACATCACCAGCCCTTTTTAAATTTTGAAATGGGGTCTAAGGTACCTAGGGCCTTGCTGAGATTATAGGCATGCGCCACTGCACCTGGCAATAAGAAACCCCTTTAACAATGAAATATACTTGTCCAAAGAATATGAATTCAAAGCTCTTGGAACAAATCTCTACACAGATATGTAATTGGCAACCGCAAATGAATGAAGAAGCATCAGAACAGAAGCTCTGGTGGCTTTACAACAGTGTCTCTCTTCTCTCCCTCTCTCTCTGGCACACACACACACATACACACACACACACACACACACACGCACGCACGCACGCACGCACGCACGCACGCACGCACGCGCGCGGTATTGCCTGTGCTGTTGAAAGATTTGTCAGTCATTTCAACAAGACGCTTTCACTTTCAGACTGCACAGCTGAAGTCCAGATGAGCTAACACCGAAGCTAGCAAGATAAAATGCCACTGGAGCAGAACTACATTATTTGGGTACTTCCAGGTGCAACTGCTTTGTAGGTGCCAATTTCCCTGTAGATGCACACGTCTCCCAGGCTGCTGAGCCTGTGTTCTCTGATGGGACCTTTGACCTCTTTACCTTTGTATTCTGCAGGGCCTATCCCCATGGTATGTGTTAAACAAATGTACTCATATTCAGCAACTAGCTATGTTTCATGCTGTGTAACTAAAGAACACTACTATCAAGTAAGGTCAATATATTTTCTTTCATGGTGAATTTAGGCTTTACTGAGAAAAACTAGAGCAAGCTCCAAGAGTTCATGACTTACACATACTGTTTCCAAATTAGCATAAATTGCTGTTGTCCACCACAGGTATCAATTTCTGCTAGACTGTCTGACCTAGAATATCTTATTCAGTTTCATGAAGTAATTAAAAATTCCTTCTACCCACTGAACATGGATATGAAGCTCAGACAGATCCCAGATCAAAATGCTATTCACTCATTTTATGTGCCTCTAGAGGCAGGGTGCTAAAATGTCCCCATGCAACAACCAGCTAAGGAAACAGAAGCATGCAGGGTTGGGCCACTTTGATCAGTGAGTTGAAATGTGCTGATATGGGCCTCCCCATCCTCAAGGTTTTTGAGAATACAGGTCCAGCAAGCCACTGCGTGTGCAGATGGGCATCAAATGTAAATCATGCTACTGAAAACTTCAAGCACAGAAATATTCTTTTGTGTCTTAAAGGGCATTAAAATCAAAGCCACTATGCTCCCACTAATCAAAGCTCCTTCTCTGTGCATATCAACAACTCCTACAGAAACGCCCAACACATGCAGATGATTCTAAGCTCCTCAGACCTGCAAATGTTCAACTCAAAATCATGAACAGCCAGGAAACATTAAGTGTCTGTCATGATCACCAAAGCTTCCAGAACTTGCCCCCAGGTGGGGGTAGTTTGACACAGGTAAAAAATAAGTCTTCCGGCTCATGAGGACAAAGGACAGAAAGAGAAGCAGAGACCATCTTCGTTTTTAGGTGAAGAGGCATACCTTGGTCTTCCCTATGACAACGCTTATAAAGTGCAAACTTGGCCGGGCTCTCGGTCACAAGAAACTTTTTGAGCAGGGCCTCGATGACTTCGCCGACAGTGTTGGTGCTGCTGATGTGAAGTGTGTTCACACAGCCAATGCTGCTGGGGGTGACTGTCCCGGCGCTGGGAGGAGTCTGTGGAGGTCTGCAGAGTTCCATCTGCACTTTAATGAAACCAGTGTAAATCCCATTTGAGTTCTGAAGAGGGAAGAAGAAAAGCCACTCTCAGCTATGTGGTCAGCACGTTTTAGGACAGGAGTGTATCAAAACCCAACAGGAAGCTCTTCCTCTTGCTCTTTTCACTTAGAGCTTTGCAGCACGACTTCACTGAAAACTTCCCCCAAGGGAATGACCTCGGAGGAAGGTTAACACACCGCAGCAAAGCGCCTGCAGAGGCAAAGTCTGCTCAGCAGATGTGCCAACCGAAGATGCCCTCCCCTGCTCAGCCACCAGCCCCGGAACCAGGGCCTCCAAACTGCAGGTGAAAGGTCAGTGGCCATTTGTGAGCTTATAGCCAGTGGAACAGATGCTAGCCAAACCCAAATGAATGAAAGATCGACTCAATGCTTAAAGGAAACGGCATCCCCAACTGATGACTAGCTATGACCCCCAAAAAAGCCCACAGTTAGGACTCTGCAATACCCAAGAATGGTGAGCTGACAAGAAAACAGGCTGTTTTGCTCCTAGTGGCTACTAGGTACATACTAGACCGTGTTAGCATGGGGTGCATTTCTTATGCTCTAAGTAACATATTTTTTTTTCTAAACTTCAAGCCACTATGTGACCTAAAGATATTACAAATATTCATCTTAATTTATAGTAGAAGTACTATGTCTCAGTTGCCAAAACAGTAATAATGGTCTTGTCTTCATTTTATTTTAGAGAGGAAAAAAAAAAAAAAAAAACGACAGTTGTGTTTTACTAAAACAAGTCATCAGGTGTCATATACAAATACCACAGTTCAATGTTCAAGACCTCCTTCGTGGCCCCTTATTTTTCTTCCTTTACAGAAGATAAATCTGCAACACTAATTCCCTTGTTCGTGCATTGTACAACACTTAAAATTTTTTATCTTGGAAAGAATATGGAAATTTGCATCTGCTTTAATCTCCATGGGGGAATAAATAAAAACCATGGCAGGTGGAACTTTTCTCCTTTGATGAAAAATGTTTGAAAAAGAACTATCATTATTGAAATAATGAAGAATAATCTTGGGATTATCTGTTCCTCTCCCCACTTTTGAGCACACTGCCACCAGGATGGGATCCTTTATCATAAGGTTTCACAGTTAAAAGCTCCTCCTCCCAAGGGTTCCTGAATTCATTTGTTTAAAACAGGCCATCCGTCTTTTAATGAACTCACTTCGCAAGCAATAGAGTGAGAGGCAGGGGTTCAGGGGCCCTGGAAAGTGGCACCAAGGGATGGCAGGAGCTGCAAGGGAGGTCACCAGATGGGAGGGCAATCAGTGAGTGAGGACAGAGGCCAGTTCATTTTAGAGGAACATGAATACTGTAGCTCTGCTGTCGATCCATTTCATCACCCCCAAGCCCTGACCTCCTCCCTCCTACATCCCCACTCCCCACGGAACACAAACAGTGTAGTACAAAACCTTGTAGATGCCTGTAACAACATAGGAAGCTGAATATTATGTACCTATCTTACACTGACAGCCAGCGGAAAAACATCTTAGCTCAACGTACTCAATCCATGGGAACAAAATCTTCCTGACACTTTCATGCTTATTTTACACAAGACAGAATATACCTGAGATCTTATTAGAATCTGGTTACCATCTCTATATTAGATAATCTAGAAAATCCTTTGGGGAAAAGAAAGGGGTCACAATATCTTTTAAAATAAAATTTTACCTTTTCTTAATATTTACTTTTTAGTTGTAGTTGTGAATACCTTTATTTTATTTATTTATTTTTATATGGTGCTGAGGATTAAACCCAGGACCTCGCCCTCACTAGGTGAGCATTCTATCGCTAAGCCACAACCCCAGCCCCAAAATTTCACCTTTTTAAGGTTAACCTAACCACTGATTTTGAGACAAAGCTACTTCAAAATACAGATTTAATTTGAAAGCTGCAGAAATAGTCTTATCTTTCTATTCTGCATACGAAATACTATTTGAATATTTTAAAATACATAGATTATACCACCAACAACTTCTATTTGTTTTTAGACAGGTAACAGCCTAAATAGTATTGGGGTACTTACCAAGGTCATCTTCAACTTGTCTGTGACAGCTAAATTATATTTATGAACTTTCTCTTTGATTTCCTCTTTGCTGAGGTAATTGTGAATTTCCTTCTCTTTCTCCACATCCTAGAAAGAAAATCAAGAGCCATGTCACACATTAATGATCATAGAAAAAATGCAGATAAGCCAGGATTCTTTTTATATTCCACATAAGAGCACCTGGGAGCACTTTACCCTCGTTATCTCAAACACTCAAACACACACACACACACACACACACACACACACACACACACACATTCTTTTCTCTCTCTCTCTCTCTCTTCCTAAATCTCCAGTCTCATCCACCAATATGGTCCTTATTCCTCAGACTACAGTCTTCCAAAGGCATATAGCAAGTAAAACAATCTGTCAGAAGCTAAAAGCAACACTTCATTAAATATTATTTTGCAGAACTGTTTTTGTAAATTTCCCTTCTACAAAAAGATCCTTCCCCCAGAGAGTCTCCTAATCTGGCCATTTCTATTTTAAACAATATTTAAAGACATACACCAAAAGCTTCTCTTTAGCAAATTCTGTGAACATTAGGATCTTAAGAGCTCTAAGGTATCCACAAAAAGTACAGTAGTTAGTAGGTATTTATTAATCAGCACTAATCACTGACCCGTCAAACTATATACAACTAACAGAAGGTAATTTGTCTTCCAAACAAATCCCTATGCCAAGAACAAGGAGCATGACTCCCTCCACCTACCCACTCCTACCTCCAGTCCAATCTCATCTACCCTCACCTTCCCACACCTTGAAGAATTCATTAATAATTCATTGTCTAAAAAGCTCAACCAGTGCATGACATTATGCAGTAGCTAATATGTGGTCACGAGTGGCCAAACTGTAGTATTTTGTGACCCCCACAAAGACATGTATACCAGGCACTGAACTTGTATTACATTTAATTCTCCCAACAACCAACAAAGTAGGCATTATTTTTTAAAATATTTATTTCTTTATGTATCTTTAGTTTTAGGTGGACACATTTTGTTTTTATGTGGTGCTGAGGATCGAACCCAGTGCCTCATGCATGCCAGGTGGGCACTCCACCACTGAGCTACAACCTCCCCTCACCCCCCACCCCCCACCCCCCGCAACAAAGTAGGCATTATTACTCCAGTTTCCAGATGAGATCAAGTTCTAGGAAGTAAATTAACCTGCTAAAAGAAAGAAACTGTTCAGTGGAAGCAGCAGAACTTGCCTGAAGCCTGACCTCAAGGCTCCACAACCCTCACTAACTCCAACCACTGAGACCACTAAGAACCTCCACATGGGTTTTCTCATATAATCCTCTCCCGAATGAGCTAATCAGCATCCACATGTTGCAGATAAGAAGAGAAGATTTACAGTCAAGTGGCTTATCCAAGGACAACCCCACTAGTACCAGACCAAGCTGCATTTTAATCCAGGTCCTCTGTTGTTTGCACTGAACTGGTCTCCAAGATTCTGGTGTAGGTTAACATTTGAAAACTCAAAGAAAAGCTGCACAATCAGATTCAAACCTAAATAGCAACTTTGAAAGGGGGGGGGGGGGCTAAAAATCTTGAAGACCAAGAGAAGAGCATTTAAAATCTGATAATTCATATTCCCCAAACATGCTCCCCCCACCCCCCAAAAAATAGGAATTTTGAAAATATGCCTGCTCAGCCAGACTGGATATTCTCCAGGCAGGACATGCTCCCATCTACTCACTGGGAGCTAAAGTTATAAAACACCAGGAATGGCCACCCCACAGCGGGCAGGAATGGAGAATAGAGTATAAAAGAAATTGTGAGCCACTGAGTCTCAAGTTCTTTGATTTTAGACCCTAAGAGGGTGCCTAACTATACATTATCTCAGCATTTTCCATTTCAGCACTGTCCTGGCAAGTCTGGGGGGTTCAATGTGCTTGGTAATACTGGAGAATCACTGTAAGCCCCTTAAGAGCATTCTGTTTGCTCATGGAAAACCCCAGCACAAATCTTATTTTTGGTGTCACTGGTTAGGGGGGAGAAGAAAGCTGTGGTTTAACTTTTCAAAAGCTTCAGTGACTATTTCCAAGGAAATTTAAAACATGTATCCCATCTTGGCTTGCTCTGCTCTTTCCAGGCCACAATTAGCCACCTACTGACCACCGCTGAAGAAGAAAATGAGGTAGCCTTTGTCTCTTAAGTATTAACAATTATTCAAAGACTTTCAACACATACACAATTGTTCCCCAGGATCAGCAGCGTATTGGTTCCAGGATGCTTCCCCGCTTCATACCAAAGTCCTCAGAAGCTCAAGTCCCTTATACAAAATGGAATAGTAGTTGCATATACCCTTTGCTTATCCTGCTACATACCTGAAATCATCACCAGATCACTTACAATACTGAATACAATATAAAATGTTATGTCAACAGTTACAATGTACTGTGGGTTTTGTTGTTGGTTTTGTTTTGTTTTGGTACTGGGGACTAAACCCAGGGGTGCTTAACACCGAGCCACATTGCCCGTCCTTTTTATTTTTTCCTTTGAAATAGAGTCTCGCTAAATTGCTTAGGGCCTCACTAGGTTGCTGAGGCTGGCTCTGAACTTGCACTCCTCCTGCCTAGCCTTCCAAGTTGCTGGGATTACAGATGTGTGACACCAGGTTACTTGATAACTTATAATATCTAACACAATATAAATGTTATGTCAACAGTTATAATGTATTGTTTAGGAAATAAAGGCAAGAAAAAAGTTTATACATGTTTCATTAATGATGCAACTGGCTGGTTGAATCCACAGATACGTTTCCACAAATACAAAGGACAGAGTACTTAAAAGAAAACAATAAGGGACTTGTGCAGTCACTGATGTGACAAGAGAAGGCGGGGTGGAAAGCACACTGCTCCAGCAAGACCCAGGATCCAGCCCCTGGTCTGTCACCAGCATACAGGGCTCTGGGGTTACCAACCTTTCTGAGCTGGTTCTCTCACTTCCTTCCAATGAAAAGACTAAAGTAAGTCACTTCCGCAGCACTTCCTGGTCTAATAAAGAATCCATCTGCAAAGATCTGATGCTGCTTTCACTTCGGTGATTAAAGAGGCAAAACTTCCACGTGAAGACTGGGACTAGAGGTAGGCAAGGCCAGGGTCCCCTCCCAACACACACACACACACACACACACACACACACACACACACACACACACCCCAAATAGTTAACTGCAAGTATACCGTAGCAAACACACATCCTAAGGGCTTCACCTAAGTGAGAACTCTTAAGAATGAAGAGAAGGAAAAGGGGTGAAGGCTGTGTATTAAAATTAAGAGCAAAGAAAAAGTTAAGTAAAGCTTGTTAATTCTTCTTTACAGGTTTTGCTGATAATACTGAACTTAGCATCCATCCTTAAAACCCTGCCCCCCTCCACATCAGCAGGCCACAGTCAACAGTTTTAGAAGCTTGAGGAAAATCAGAAGAGCCAGCCAGTCTGGAAAGAGCGACTTCCCCTGGATCACTCATATGTAGATAACTGAGATACTCTTTTCTAACAAGTCTCTCTTCTTGTTAGAATCAAAACCAAGCAAACTGCAGGGAGCAAAAACAGAAAAGAGCTGGACCCAAGCATCTCCAGGACCCTCTCCAGGCTAAACATCTCATCATTAAAACAAAGTAAATCCCAGGAAAGCAGCTAGAGCCCAGAGGGCTGTGAAGCTGTGCTGGCAGGCCAACTCATGCAGCAAATGTTCGCTGAGCATCTGCTGCGTGCCAGGCACCTGCCTAAGTGCAGGGGACCTTGCAAGAAGATGCCACCCCACCTCACACTGCTTACTGTCTACGCCCAGCACAGGCTGAGTACCATCAAGGGAAGCCAAAAAGAGAATGCTTCCAAAGTGATAACCAAGCAAGCTGCCCTTGGAGGTCTGGGCAGCAGGAAAAAGCCAGCTCGGGCCCTAGGGCCAAAGACACTGGTTTCAATTAGCCTCCAAACCAAAGAAAGACCCCTAACTTGGAAAACCTCCAAATTGTTCAAACTTTAAAAAAAACCAAAAAACTCCCTTTTTTAGCTAATCTGGGCAAGAATCCTCCTTCCTCCAAATACACTGAGCATTTGTAAGAACTGCAATTCTCTGGAATACAGTCCTTATGGGTAGGAAGATGGGGGTGGTGGTGATTTTAACCCAGCAGGGCAAAGGAGGTAAAGGGGGGAATGCAAGGCGAGGCGAGGGTTAAAAGGTGGTACTGAAGGCGTGGCACAGATGAAACACTCAGAGTGAGCATGAATCTTTCATTACAAGGCTAGAGAGGAAATGGCACAGCGAGCAGCAGTCCGTGAATAATGCATTGGTTATTGTTCTTGGCAGCCAGGGAGGGTCTGACGCCACGCCTGAGTGTCTATTTGGCAGGTTGCAAGTCATCTTTGTTCAGTCAGTTTTGTTTTATATTCCCCGACCTCCAGTTCCTCAGAGAGGGAGTTCTTCCATGCAAAATTACAAAAATTAAACCTCTAGACTCTTTCCTCGTATTTCCAGCTAGTGAATGCTCAAGAGCTGCTCTTGGGTTAGCTTTAGTTCCTGGGTGGGGTCACATCACAGTTTGTTTGTTTTTTTAACCAGTAAACTTTCTCAGAAGGGACACACCCTGTACCTCATAAATGCGCAGGCATGGCCTGCTCCCACAGGGTGGCAAATCAGGCTTTCCAAGAATATACCCAACAAGCCTGGGTAAAGGGCCTAAGAATTACTTGTACTCTTCTGTAACTCTACAATTACGAATATGCAACAACAGGGCTGGGATGTGGCTCGGTGGTACAGTGCTTGCCTGGCATGCCCAGCACTGCAGGAAATAAAATCACAGTTCTCACATTCTAGCTCTATGATCAAAGTGCAAAAAGGCCCTCATGTTTTAGCTGTTCGACCAAAGGCAAGTTATTTATCCTCTCTGAACCTGTCTTCTTATCTCTGTAAAATATGCAAAACAATTATACAACTGTAAGAAGATATAACATAAGCTCATATTTAACAACTATTTACTGAGTGCCTACTGGGGCCAGGCTCTGTGCCAAGCACTTCAAGCTCAGAGAGACAGTTGTAGTTCCTGCCTTTCTGCCTGTTCTTGGCTGACAGCCTG